TCTTGACTCAGCCTCTGAATGCTCCAAATCTAACCAAAAATAGATTTATACCATCAAAATATGCTAAGGGAACAAAGCCCACTCGAAAATAACCAATTTACACCAAGAAATCCCGAAATTGACCAAACCCGACCCTCGGGCCCACATCTCGAAATCCGATAAAAATTACATCAATAGAATACTTATCCTCCCACGAGGCCATACATACCAAGAACATCAAAATCGGACCTCAAATGGCCCCTCAAATCCCCAATTTGCACTCTCCAATTTCAAGCCATAATTCCCCAATTTATGGCTTTAAATCCCACTAATTTCATGTTTAAACAAGTAAGAATCAACATAGGATCGAGTTTTAGGTTCAATAATCTTAACTCAAAGAAGTTCTCTTGAATTCCCTCTTCAATTTCCCCCGAGAAGCTCCAAAACCGACTCAAAAATGGTGAACTATGGCCAAAAATCGCGAAAATGGCTATTTAAACATTCAGCCCAGCGATTTAATTCCTTCAACGCGATCGCGGAAATAGCCTCGCGATCGCGAAGCACAAATAATGACTGGCCCCATTTAACCCTACGCGATCGTGAACACTTCCACGCCATCACAAAGCACTGGCTTCGCAAACTGACGCGATCGCGGCCTCTCCCATGCAATCGCATAGAACAACCTGCCTACTCCTCACTAGCTCCTTGCCTTCTACGCGAACACGACCCTGACCCCGCGTTCGTGAACAACAACTTCACAGCCAATCGCGATCGCGCCCTTACCTTTGCGATTGTGTAGAAAAAATCTCACCCCTGATCGACTAGGCCTACGCGATCGCGGACCATTCTACGAGATCACGAAGAAAAAAAATGCCTGCAACAGAACTGAAGAAAATCTGCAACTTTCAAAACAAGGATTTGACCCGTTTAACCATCCGAAACTCACTCGCGGCCCTCGGGACCTCAACCCAACATGCCAACATATCTCATATCATCATTCAAATTTGTTCCAATCTTCGGAACACTCAAAACACCATCAAAACATCAAATCAACCGCGGATTCAAGCCTAAGAACTCCAAAAACTTCTGAATTTCGATTTCGATCAAAAAGTCTATCAAACCTCGTCCGAATGACTTGAAATTTTTTACACACATCAAAAATGACAAAACGGATCTACTCAATTTCAGGAATTCCATTCCGACCCCGATATCAAAATTTTCACTGCCAACCGAAAAATATCAAATTTCCAATTTCGTCAATTCAAGCCTAAATCTACCACAGACCTCCAAAATATATTCCGGACGCGCTCCCAAGTCCAAAATCACCTAACGGAGCTAACTAAATCATAAAAATCCAAATCTGAGATTGAATACTAAAAAGTCAAAACTTGGTCAAACCTTTCAAATTTAAAGCTTCAAACTGAGAACTGTCCTTCCAAATCCATTCTGATTACCCTGAAAACCAAAATCGGCAATTTACATAAGTCATAATACATCACACGAGGCTAGTCATGCCCGAAAACTAGCGAGCAAAATGTAAAAGCTCAAAACGACCGGTCGGGTCGTTACACTTAAGGTTAATCTTCCAAGTTTACATCTTTTACATTGGAAAGTCCTACTTTTTTTTTAACTAGTCTCCTTGCTTTTTCTAATGGTATGTCTACTTCAAATTCATCTTGTATTATTTCAATCTTCATATATTTAGTATCTTCTACCGTACTTTCAATTCCATTATCTATTTATCTATGGGTAGAACAGTTGTAATCAGTAAACCTAATTGAGGTTTCTCCCTTTGAGTTTGTATACATTAAATGAGATTCTGGTTTGAATATTTTTGGCTTTGCGAAATCTTCTAGATTCCATTCTAATCCTGCATATTCTTCTGGATTTATCTTAATAGGTTTTATTAATTTTATCCCTTTATTTCCTCTACATCCTCTACCTTAATTTTAAATTTTGTATTACTATTAGTTGTCATTTTTCCTATGAACCCTACACATATTTGTAGATTATTTCCATTATTCATTTCTTCGTATCCTTTAGTCTGTATTATTTTAATATTTTTTTCAAATTCTGCTAAATTTATCATGAAGTCCGGGCTAATATAGAATATTCCTTCATTATTGGTCATGTCTACTTCTATTAAACCTATTATAGATTTCTTTTGATCTGATCATCTGTCATCATATACCACGACTAGTACTTTAGTTCCTAAATTATTTCTAGTTAGTCCTTTTAATCCAATTACTATTAATCCCATATGCATTAAATTCTTTTTATAATTTTTTATTTGTCTTACTGATTCTGGGTCGATTAAATTTAATGTTGCAACTTTATTTCTTATGGCTGATAATTATTCTTCTCTGTAGTGCCTATACAATTGAGAATTATTTGAAAAATATCCTATATTATATAATATTTTTGGGTTGAGTAACCTTAGTTGATTTTGTTGAAAAATTTGTATGTCTTTGTCTATATCTATTATTTCGTCTAATTGCTTTTCCTCTTGTCTTTTCCTAGTTAAAATTCTTGCTAACATATTATTACTTATTCTATTATCTGAAAAACTTATTCATGAACTCTCTTCGTTTGTTGTTCTTGATCCACCTGAAAAAAGGTCCATTTTTGGGGTTTTCTTAATTTAAGTCTGTCCTTTTGCGGTGTTATTTCTACTCTTTTTAATTGTTCTATTAAATCGTCTACTTTTGGAATTTTTACTCAAGTCTTTACTTCTTTTTCTTTAATAATTTTATCTAATTGTTTATTAATTTCTAAAAGTAATACTATTAAAGTATTATTCTATTTTATTATTGTTTAGTCCGCCTTTCCTTGAGGAATATAGCTGGTAAGTCCTTCTGGATTGGGCTGAAATCTTTCTGTTAATTTTAATGCGTTATCATAAACTGGATCTAAATAATTCATGAAAGAGCAATTTCTTTTATTGTCTCTATCTTTTCTTTTAAGGTGTTTATCTCACTTGTTAGTACTTCAACTTGATGTGTTATTTTTTCTACTAATTTAGTTGTTTGTATTTCTAGTTCTTTAGGTTTTTCTATAATAATTTTAATTAATTTTTCTATTTTGTTTTTCATAGGTATTTTTTCTAGGTTAAACTTATTGTTCAGAAATTGTATTTTTCTGTAATTTCTAGTTCTTGCGATTTTAAGAAATCAAAATTTTGCTATAATTTTTCTAAAGTCTTTCTTTGTTTAGTTTGTAATGCTTCTACTATTTCTAGTGTTCTTATTATATTTTTATTATTTTCTTGAGATTTTTCGCGAAGGTTGATTATTATATCTACCAAAGTAATATATTGTTTATCTTCAGTGTGTAATATATGTTTTCCATTACTGAAATTGCACTTTATTACTGAATTATCTTTTAATATTCTATACTTCTTTTCTGTGTATATTTTTAAATCTAAATATTCTAGGTTCTTTAATTTATCTATTTTGTTTAACCTAATGGTATCCAAATTGTTTAGTTTTTAAAAAAATTTATTCTTTGATTTTCTAAATATATTTCTCCCTCTATATATTGTACCTCCCACTCTAAAGCTAATATGGTTTCTGTACTAATCCTACATTTTACTATATAACTTGGTTCTCTATTGATTTTTAGATCTGATTTTTCTATTTGTTTAGCTAATTCTAAAGTTGTTATTAATAAAGTCTTGACTTTCTGTAATATTTTCTTTAATTCTTCTTTTCTCTGTATTTCTCTACCTAAAATTCAATAATTAAAAGCTATTCATTTAGCTAAAGGATGTTGTCTTAACATAAATATATTTTATCCTAATGGGATATATTTTACCTTATTTATGATTGTTTTGATATAATCATTTTCTTGTTCTATTTCAATATTAATTCTTTCTATTTTAATGAGAAGAAAATTCTTAAAATCTTCACTATTTAAAATACCTAGTTCTGGTTTTTCAAGAAGGTTCAGTTATAATTCTAATGTTTCTCTATATTCTATGTTATTATTAATGCTATCTAAAGTAATATATATTATGTGGTGATGGAAACTTATGTATTTAGTAAAAAATATGTTATTTCATAAACTTATGGTCCTAAAATCTTCTAGCTCTGATACCAAATTGCTCTCTCTCTCTCTCTCTCT